TGTTTTTCTTGGTCCCTTTTTCAATCTCCTTATTTTTCTCATATTTGTTCTAGCTCATTTAATACTAAGACCTGAAGTCTTACAAGCACTAGAGCATTGTTACATAAGCATGTCTTCGAGGCTTAGCAATACCAAGTCGCATGTTCCCTAGCTCAACACAATGGGTAGTGTCAATTTATAAGTCATGTTGACCTTTAAAGTTCCCAACTATTGAGAAGAGACCAATTTGAACTTACTATTCGTATAAGAAAATGTGACAATATATTAAATACTAAGTTAATCATCCCAAAGAAGTCACATTTAAGAATAAGGTCATCTATCATAAAACTCGTCAAAATAAATGCACAAGCACTAAGATCTATCTTTTCTCATACTTACAAAGGTCTTGATCTATATTCTTTAAAGGGTATGTCCCACACCAGATCTTCTATTACGTTATTTGCTCTCGGAAGCATTATGTTGATTTAGTATACCCAACATCTTATTGTGTGAAATGTTGTATTAATCTTATCACATTTAGTAAGGTGAAAACACTATAGATTGTGATGTCATGATCTATCAAAATTTAGAGATGACAATATTCTTCAGCAGTGTCCATTTATGCATATGTACTATTTTGCATTTATGCAAAATTGATATATGCGATAGTTCAACGTTAGAAACATAGTCGAAAATTCACTAAGTTCCTTATCATCATCTAAATCCTATCATAAATTTAATTTCATAACTCGGAATTCGATTCATTATAGGTGAGAATTACATTAATACCAACCATATAACTGCCACTGAATTGGCGGAATAAATAGTTTTAAATGAAATTCTCACTAAATCTTCCAAACACCAAACTACCACGCAATCAATGATCAATATATCTAAGTAAGAATGTCACTAATTCAATAAAGCAATCTGATAATATGTGATTGAACATAAATATGTACATTTATCCAAATTAGACATGTAATAAGATATCATAAATTAATTCTCTTTGAAAATAATTTCAAACATAAAAGAAGATAAAATTTCCATCAATTAATTTTTATTACACAAGTTCTTAACCTTATCATAATATATGTTACAACATAATCCCAACAAATGGAAAGTGAATATTAGAATGCTCATATTGTGCTTATCACTACTAGAATGTCCCAAAAATAGTGTCACACTGCACACTCTTTCTAGACGCTTCACGTGTTCTATAAAGTTACTGTAACGACCCAAATTTTAAAAGTGTGCATTGCAACCAAAACTATTAAGGTTTGAATCGCTACCAAAACTATTTATAAGAAAAATCATAAATTACACAATGTTGCCTGCAATTATGTAGCAATAATTTACTAAATTTTATGTAGAGAAATTTTCAAATCTTGTTTTCACTTATTCTATTAAAATCAAGATTTTTTTCTCAAAATCACAATATATTCATACATGTTTGGATAGACCATACGAAAATCAATCTAAAACTTAATAATTAGGTACCCAATTTCGTAGAGTTCTAGAAGTCATAAGAATGACAAAACGGAAATGAATTGCTAACGGTGTCAACCATAATTAAATATGTGAATTAGTACTACGTAAAAGTTCAAGTGGAAAATTAGTCATCTGACCTAAGAAACATCATCAATATTTTAATCCCCACTTTGGAGAAATTCCTTCATGTGAATTACAGCCACTTTTATAATATCAATGACATGTCCATATAACAATTAATTGATTTTCTATCCCATGACAAGCACACACGTAGTCTTCATGCAAAATGGTCAGGTTACCTTCTGTCTTATTACTAGAAAATTCCGTTAAATTAACAAGATAGTTCATTTTGAAAATTCAGTAGCAAAGAACACGTCACCCAAATTAATAATAATAAGTCAGTGTCAACAAATCACATTACGAAAATACATAACCAAATAATCTATCTTTCTAATTTCCAATTAGGTGTCCACAAAATAACGAAACTCCAGATTATTGCTGAAAATAAAATCTTGAGTCACATTACACTGAATTTGCTTTATTAAGTTCAATGAATCCCGGCACCACGACTGCACCTCATCGCGCGCCATCCAACGACCCAATCTAATCTGTGAGATGTAGGAAAAATGGTGAGTACTTGGAAATACTCAGTAGGATATAAACAGAAATATGGTGCAATCCCGAATAAAATATTTAAATCATGCATCAAGAAAATCATACCGTCATCATATCTTTAGAAACCGGTAAGAGCTCATATCATATCATATCATATCATTTGTACCGGAATGGCCATAACATCATAACATAAAATATCATATCTTTAACTTTCATAAGTATAAAATTTCATCAACATGAAGAAAATATAATTTAATCGGGATAAATCAACTACACCTCTTTTCCTACCTT